AAAGTTTTGATTTGGCAAGGTTCATAATTGTGTTGTTAGAAAGCCTGATGCTGGAAAATTAACTTTTCATGTCAGGAGAAATAACTTCCAAAACTTGCAGTTGCAGCATACATTCGCGCGAAAATTGCCCCTCAACAAACGAGCGATTTTTTTTAGCAGTGTTGCGGGCTACACTTTAACTGGCCGATACGGTAGATTCACTTTCATTTCACATTTTTTTAAACATGTTTGTTTAACTTTCGTATGAATTGAGCAATGAATTAAATTTTGAAATACGTGCGTCAACTGATTATAATAGTGCATAATGTTGTATTGCTTCAGAACTGAAATATTTTGTTGGCAAGGAAGACAAATCGCAAAGTTTGATTCTTTTCAATAAAGAAATAAAAACGCTGCCATTTATCTAAAAAAACGTCTGTTTTCCGTGCCTAGTTTTCGTTTTGTGACATCTTTCTCAGCTTTCTCAATATACGGCTAATATCTGAAATACTGCAGTGTGTAATCATAATACGGATACGTATGCATAAGATACCGGTATAATTCAATTGTTACGAAATAAACGTGATTAAACTGCGATATTGATGTAACGTTAGAAGGTCTCCAAAACTGATAAGTAAACACATAAAATGTTGTGCTCAAATTTGGCGGGCCATTTTAAATCGTTACACGGGCCGTAATTGACCCGCAGACTGCGATTTGGAAACCCCGTCGCCTTTGATGCCAAAAACACTTGGGCTAAATTTTGGGTTTCCGTTGCAAAAGAATTTCCGGAGTTATCACCGGCTGCAATGAATTTTTTTTTCCATTCGGAACTACCTACTTATGTTAAAGGATGTTTTCTGCGTTTTTTTTTTCATACATCAAAACAAATACAGATCAAGGCTAGAAGGAGAAGAAGATCTCCGAGTTGCCGTCTCTCAAATTAAACCTCGAATTGTGTTCTAAACCAGTGTTCTTCAACCTTTTTTACCGTGGTATACCTTTTACATTTTTTCGAGAACTTCGTATACCTTACAAATACCAATGTTTATTTCAAGCTAAAATGAACATTGAATTTTAGCCACATATTGAAAAAACTAAAATCAAGATGGCGGAGCGAGTCATTATAAATGCTTTTTTAGTTTTTACTCACAGATGCAATTAATTTGAACACCCAAATGTGTATAAAATGTAAAGACGACGTTAATTTAGTTTCAGTGGCTTCTTTGTTCTTGTATAGTTTCAGCAATTCGTCCATAACAGGATTTTAGTCCCTTTTAATTGCTCCCCGCATTAGTGAATCAATATAAAGTTTAGCTTTTTCGACTTGATTTCAACAAGACTGTAAACCCCTTATTCACACAAATAAGGCGTAGGCATCTGTACCAGGAGAGCAACGGCTTTTTCTGCCAGATTTTTGTACTCGGGAAATTCAAAAAAAGAAACCCAAAACTCCCGAGTAATCCCTTTGGCGAAATGAAATTTTTTGATTTAAATCCTCCGGAGTTTCAACAATTCTTCGTCTTCTGTTGGTTCACTAGTAAATGGCTGCATTATCCGTGAGTTTTCTTCCAGACGTCTGTTATTATCTTCAGGAAAGTACAAAGCCAATTTATCACCCAGTAAGTTCAAATGACCAACAATTAGGGTAGACATGGTATTTATCGTTGAAACGTCCTCAAACTCCCACCCAGACTCTTTCAACTATTGATTTAAAAGAGGAAAGTCAATGAAGTTTCCTGAAGAAGCATTGTTTTACCCGAGTTGAATTTTCATTTTCAGAGCATTAATTTTGCTAGTTGATCGAAATATATCACCTCCTCTCCCTTGAAGACTGACTTTCGCCTGATTAAAACGATCAAAAATCGACGCCATGTACGCTAGTTTTGCAACCCAATATATATTACGAAACTTGGTGGCTTTTTGGTCTCCTCTTTCAGTGTAATACGCCCCTAATTGCTCGCGAAGTTCAAACACACGGGAAATACCTTTCCTTGGGACAGCCACCAAACTTCTGAATGTAGAAGAAGTTTTTTGAAAGTGGCGGCTGTTTCTTTACACAGTTTCGAGAAAAGTCTCGTTTGTTTAGAACTTTTCTTAATCGTATTCACAAAATATACTACTTCCCGTAGAACATCGTGTTTCATTTTTTCCCCCGCAGATCAAGCGACGTGCACGGCAGCCGGAATTATCAAAACCCAGACAGGTGCCTGCATTATCTACATAATTTGTGATGTAACAATGTGCTCAAGTTGGTTCATTGCGTGAATGACATTTTATATTTCGCGTTGCGTTTGCATTGTTGTCTCTAATTGAATATTTTATAATTTATTATATTAGAGCTTACAATTCCTGATTTAGGCTGTACAGTGTACACCCTTCGTATACCCTTTATCAGTTGTATACCCTTCGTATACCTTTTATCAGTTGTATACCCCACGAATGGTCTGGTATACACTTAGGTATACAGTATACCCGGTTGAAGAGCACTGTTCTAAACACAGAGCCCATAAGTCTCAGCCCAGAATAGGCTGAATGTAATTATTTACTATTTTATATGCTAAGTTTCTTACATTTTTGTGTAAGAAAATTGCTACTGTCGATAGTAGTCTCAAAATCGATATTCAATTAGGTATTTTCCACAAAATTATATGCTCGCCAAATGATTGGGTCGGGTGAGATTACAAATATTTTTTTAGGGTATTTAAGGTAACAAATATTCACGATCAGTTTTGGCCCAAAAAATAAAATAAAATTAATGGCTTGACGAGATAGCTCCTATGTGCAGGAGCAAATGTTGTATTTGAAATAGAAATCAGAATCACATTGATTTGAATCAACTTCAAGTCAAATCGAGAATTTGCTGCGTACCTGACTAAATTACAAGTTTGTAGTTTGAACTTTATTAGCTTGTTGGAATATTTGCTGCCTCTTATAGATTGGTAGGTAAGCCTAGTTTTGTTCATTTTGTACGAGATATTGCACTGCTTTCGACGATTTTCGCAAGAAAACCTGTTTTCAACGAATAAAACATTTAAATTTAATTCTCCCGTTTGTAATAATATGGTATTCTCATAATAATATTGTCCTGTACGTTAATCGCATTATTTTGACCTGATATTAGTTGTACCGCTCTGTATGGAAGGAAGTGTATTTCACAACGGAGGCGTTATTTAGTAGTACCAAAAATGTCTTGTGATCATTCATTAATATTGACAAGGGAAATAAACATATGCAGTATTTCAAAAATATGATAATAATGTTGATAATCGTTAATATTAGTTGTGTTTTTGATCGCCCCATTGGGACGAATGGAAATGTCAGCCAGGACAACTCAGATATGGTTCTGAACTTCTGATTCTGAGCTATTCTAAACAATAATATAGTTTATGTGTTTAGGCTCGACGTCTCCAAATAAAACAAGAGAGAAATGCTCAAATATATGGACACGAAAGCTATTTACAATAATTGCATCACGCTGTTAAACAAGCAAAAGATGGGAATAAAAATAGCAGCTGTGCAAGCGTACAAATAAAATGGAATAAGTTAATTTGACTGCAAATGCAGTAAGAGTAAATATGTAAATGAACTTGATATGGCACTTACCTAGGTCACATGTTAAGAGTTATCGGAGAAGTTGCCATGCTTCTTCCTTAGCATTCTTTCGTTATTCACGACAAAACTGTAACAAAAAATGAGAGCGTAATTGACTGTGTTATGGTGCCGGTGCCTTAACTCACCAGTACCATACCGTACCTGTAAGCCTGATACCGGTATTCGATCGTGGAATGGTTCTTCTTTGGCATATACAAACTCAATTCATTTTCTGTTATTAAAATAAACTAATACGTTATTATACAAAACTTGAATTTGTGCAATGGTAAGTCACCGTGCTGTGTTACGGTAACGGAACTGGCCTATTTTCACCAGTTCCAGTCTTGTGCCAGCTTTATTTAAAATTGCAAGATGATCCGACTTGCAACTGCAGTAACACCAGCGATCCGAAACACTACTGTAATATAACGCCAGGTACGGGTACCACCAACGAATAACATACCGCGCAGTTCCAACATTTCTTAGCGAGCAAGAATCACGTTCGCTTCTTCGCCGCAATCGCTACAAGGTGCCGCTATTTTTCATTCTGATCACCAATTCGCACACAAAAAAACGAATCTCTTGAAGTCCAGAAAAAATTTTGAAATAAATAAAAGAAATAGCGTTCTGGAGAAAAATTCTATCTCTAAACACTGAAAATTTCAAAGCAATTGGTCCAGTAATTGAAGAGAAAAGCGATTTCTTCAAAACGTGTCAAAGAACAACAAGACTAAGAACAACACAAGAGAGCTATGCTCAAATATATGGACACGTAGCGCCACCCAGTGGCAATAATTTTGATGACGTCATAGCGAAAAAAAAGTAATAGCCTTCTGGAGAAAAATTTTATCTTTAACCACTGAAAATATCAAAGCAATTGGTCCAGTATTCGAAGAGAAAAGCGATTTTTTAAAAATGGAGACGGAGACAAATAACAATAACAAGAGAGCTACGCACAAATATATGGAAACGTTAGACCAGAGCGAATCAGTCCTTACCGGTACCTTTGACGCTACCGGTACCCTCAAAAAAGTTCAAACTGACTAAAATCCGTGTTCCCATGGATAAAAAATAATACAGCAAAATATTAGACGAAATATCAAATTTTATAGAATTCACGCAAAATTTTGAAATAAATAAAAGTAATAGCCTTCTAGCGAAAAAATTAATCTTTAATAACCACTGAAAATTTCAAAGCAATTGGTCCAGTATTCGAAGAGAAAAGCGACTTTTTAAAAACGTGTCAAAGAACAAGAACAACAACAACAACAACATAATATTGAAACGATCGTTATGTCGACTACGTGTCCAACAATAACAACAAAATTTTGAAACGATCGCTAAACGTGTCCAATAACAACAAAACGATCGCTATGTCCATTACGTGTCCAAAGAACATTACCGTGGTACAGTGATGTAGCCGCCGTAGCACACAGTTCCATTTTTGCTAATATGTATGATACAACAATTCAACAACTAGAACAATTACAAATCGTTTGCACTTTTATATTTTCTTTCAACTTGCAAAGGCTATTAACAGTGAAAAAAGGGGATATGTTGTATCCTACATGTTCTAGAAAATACAATCAACAGTGTGCTAATACAGTGAGAATAAACTTCAAAGCTGTAATCGTTGAGTTATGAAACCACAAGCGACAACTTAATTTTTTAATGAAGCATTGAAGTGACAGCCAAGTTGGAATACCCAATGAATTAAACAATGCTGATTCTTTGCCAACGTTGAACTGTTTTTTCTACAAATTTAATGACCTAAAATAATCACCCAGAAATAGATTGCTTGACTAGTGCAGATTTTCAAGATAAATGTCAATTGATAGTTTTTGAATGCAACGACGACACAAAAGATCTATGTTATGTTGGTTCGGAGCAATGCCAAGAATGAATATGAATATGATATCGTGTATAAATGGTCAACCAAATTTCAACTTCTTTCTGCTATCTAGCCACTTGAGTTTAATAGTTTACGCGTTAAGCTTTTCGATGTCTTCAAAATACTTTCCTGCTTTTTCTACAATTCTGACTTTGTCATCCCAAGTTGGAAAATCTTCTGCATCTTGGAGGGATTTTATAGCTTCTCCGGAAGATTCAGAACCTTCGCTCCGTTTATTTTGAAGACACTGAGACGTCGACAGCGCCAATAAGCCAATTCCGTACACTGAACGTCGCCGAGCTTTACTTTTAAATCGCCTCAAGATTGTTTCAACCACAGTGTCTGCCACATCGTGCATCTCTGTAACTTGCTTCAGTTTGCCATGCATAACAGCAATGTAAAGCATACCCCACATTTCAATGTCCGCTTTGAGTTTCCGATCGGTGTGATGAATCTCTCTCAGATTTGTAAGCATGTCATATGCAATTGGTACAAAATGGGGGAAGTATATTTCATATTCATCTTTTTCAAATATTGACAACATAATCTTGAGAACGTTTTTCATACATTCTTCTATACCTCGTAGTGCTACGTTTGGTATGATGGTATCGGACCCTACCTCATCAGCTGAAGGATAGTGCACATATTCATACTTATACAAGGTACATGCACATTTGTACATAAGCGCCGCCCGAAATGGAAAATTTTGCCCAACAAGATTGTCAGCCATTCTTGTGATGTCACTAACTTTGGGACGTGGCAATGTCATCAACCACAGATCTGGTCGCCTGACATTCTTCTGAAATCCGTCTGTATCCCCTGCCTTGGCGTAATGCTCAACTATCAAAATTAAAGTCTCAAGTGTGCTTGCTTCTTCGCTAATTTCAAGTTGAGACATTTCATTCTGAAGATCTAAAAACGTATATCATAGAATATATAAAACAGTTATACATACCAGCAATCTAGTTTTTTTTGACACTCCGACATTTACCTTCCATTGTCTCCTGTTGTTGAGTTACTTCGTCTTCAGCTTCCGAATCGTCACTACTAATATCATCATCACTTGAAGTCTGGTGTATTATGTTTGTTAAATTTTCTTTCGTTTGAAGAGAAAGTTGATTTACGTCATCGATAAGACTGTAAAGTCCATCAAGAAGTCCACTGCAATAAAAATGAGATAATAGCGATGAAAATATTTGAAAAAAGAACAAACATGTGGACGCAAAGTCCGATGCCAGTTCATTACCAGTCCGATACCAGTTACAAAAATTTACATTCTACCAAATAACCACTTACTTTCATTAACAGAGAACGTAGTTAAGATAAATATATTAATGAAAGCAATGAAAATATGTAACATTAACAAAGTATAATATGCAATGTAGCAACTATATTTACGCGTTACACACTTGCCTCATGTCAGAGTCTTCGGATGGGCGTTGCTGCACCTGGGCACATTCCGTCATTTTTCTCTGTTTAGTTAGGCTAATATGATAAGCAGCTATTAGAGAAATAAAACACTTTCAAATGTAAATACAGAGTTGGAATGAAACGTCTGGCAACGCAATCTAATAACATACGATGATAGTTGAAAGAGTTCTAACTTTATTGTGTTTGCTATTCTTGTGATAAAATTTCGCTATTAAAATCTTTTCAAAACGGCCCTGAACATCAACGGTTCGACCAAGCTGTGAATATATCAAGGATGCCCATTAGCTCTATACTGTAACTGACTGACCCTAAATAACTAACATTCAGAATGACGATGCTGTTGAAACAGCCAAGTATTATCTAGTTTTGTTCATATTATCAATCACGCTCTTCCTCTTTTAAAGTTTATATATAACCCCTTAGCGGACTCGCAAACGATTGCACCATTATGGAAGGTTTCATAGCGTGACGCTCTATGTTTATAACGTAATTCGTTTCAATATGGAAGAACGAGATCACAAAACAATACAAACAAGGGAGAATTTTACAAACCAACGAAGACAAAGGAACACTCATGACTATTATGGTTTTGTTTTCGTTGCTTTGTTGTCTAAACTCCTCCATTGCTTTACAAACTTTATATATACATATAACTTTGTTTTAGAAGTATTCATTTAAAACATTCAATTTGGTCATACCAAGTGGTACCTATATAGTATAGTCGTGCCACATCCGTGCCACATTGACCATACATTAAAAAAAACATTTCATTACACCTTGGGTTGATAATTGAACGCGGCGCTTGAATGTGGATTATTATATTAATGTGCTCTGTCAAAAACTTCTCGCGTAGATGAGATACAAACAAAGTCACATGTTTTATTGAATTATATTAAATTGCCACTTGCTTTTTTGTAGTCGAAAAAAAAACATTCAATTATATGAGCAAGGTCTTATTCCGTGGCCTGGTACATTCCGATATCTTTCTATTCGCCATTCTTAGAAGGACATTTAAAGTTCAGTAGTTTGACAATATTCTTGACATACCGTATGGAGAAATTTGAATGAAATAACGCACGCTTCACAAGTTTGTCTTTTCAAAGATTTAATTATTTCGTTGTCTAAATACGATGATACTAATGTAACAATGTTAAGTTTTATGTGGACGGTATGGACTAAAACAGGTGCTCCTGAAGTATGCGCACAAAGATGTCGCACAATCTGAACCCTAACCTGGTACACAACCTGAGTTCAGGTTGTGTGCCATCTTGGTGCGCATACTCCAGGAGGTCCCTAAAACATATGTGTAGACTTGGATTTCAGAAACTGCCGAGGATTAACGAAACGCTTCTGCGGTGGATCGGAAATTTAGAAGTGTGATTGCTCATAGGCCAAGACACCAACGGACAGCGGTGACGTTGGCAGAAAAATAACAAAACAACAAAATCCCTTGCGGGCTGACGGTAAACTACGGGGATAGCCGGTTGGGAACCAATGTTTTCTACGACACGGCAAGTCAACTCAATAAAATATTAGTAAGATTGGCTTCGGTTCGATCTAACAATAAGTGATATGTTTTCATTCCGTAATTACTGTGCTTTTTTGGCTTGAAGTAAAAATATACACTACTTATGTGATATTTTAATTTAGATTTGAAGGCAATGTAAATGTAAAGCATGTACAACATCTATTTGAAGCCATGGAAAAATTTGACATAGTTTTGTTAATGTTTATAACATCAACCTAATAGTAACCTAAACAATATATGATTAGGTTTTGAGTTCCTCCTGCAGCCGTTAAAAGAATACAATAACTCAGAAATATGAAATGATCTGTCCATATATATACTCAAGAAATGTGTCATCATTCTGAAAAACATTGCAGCGGTCATTTTTGATGAAGCCCACCAAGTCAATAAAACGTCTCTAGTTTTCAACAGATTTTTAAGCAATATTTAGAATCTATTTATCTTAATTCATCAATACGGGATCATTCATTCATTAATACAAAACACAATCTCCCATGTAGGCCTACTGACTGAACGGCGATCCGTGAATCTGAGACAGTATAAATGAAAGCAGATTCTCTGAGCCTGCGCTCTTATCACTTACAAACGTCAATGGTTAAACGTCAATGGTAAGTTAGGATATTATCATGACCTATTTATGATATAAAAACATAAACATAATTTCAAATTTTATTGCATCCCAGCTTGTCAATAATTTACGGCATTGCTGGGTGTTATACTTGACTATTCCGAAAAATAAAGTAGAAACGCTTCTGACACACATAAAGACCGCTGCCTTTACTTTCTTGTATTGCATTGAAGCAACGCTTACTCTATTTAATGCCCACAAGAAGTTATCGGTTGATGCTTGACGGAATTCAGTCCTGTCCATACTAAATTGAATTGATTCATGAGGTCGACTGCTTCATTCCCCTTCACTGTACATGTTACCTTTTGTTGTTTGTTAACGGATACTTTCCATCTTGGTATTCGCCGTGGTTTTGACTGTGACAAGTACCAAGCGAAATTGATACTGTGCCAAAGCAATGAATACTATGGATTCAGAACAATATATAATAAAAATGAAAAATCTATATCATTCTCAAAATATTATTTGTGTAAAAACATACACAGAATGTCTTTATATGTAGTTGATTTACCGAAGTCAAATATAATGCATCATCGTATGATTTCATGCTAAAGATAAAATTAGCATTGGAGAAAGATATTGATTGTATCAACTATTTCTATACTATTGTATTACCTCTTCGATAAACTTGTGCTACAGGAAATATGTGGGAAGGTTCATCTCAAAACAGTTAATAACCATTACACAGACAGAGACAGGCAGGAGTCATAAGATATTGATTTTGAAGATTAGAAATGGAATTAGTAGGAGAATGAAATACACAAATAAATCAAATTATTATAAACCTCGCAAAGTCACAAGCCATGATATACCAAAAATCAAGAGCCAGGATCAGACAAGGAAGCACAGATTTTTCAGTGTGTGGAAGTGTACCGTAAAGAGGTGATATCGTTATACAATATAGTAGCATATCGTAGTACAGTATAATCGGTGATATACAATTTATTGTTAACCCATCATTACTTAATGATAAAGTTACTCGGATTGGATTTAAATCAAAGTTGTCACTGGTTATAACAACATAAATTGAAACAAGAAAAAAATTGACTGTACGTAGGCATCTGACCACGTCCCTTTCTCAGTTGACTAATTAAAACTGCTCGTAATTGCAAAGAGTTTTTTATACAATCTTACAACTACTATGATCATTGATGTGCAAACTTTGATACCGATACAAAATTTTCGAAATAACCATTGTTGTGTTGTGCCACGGTCGCGTAGGCGTGATATAAGGTTTGCATGTGGAAAGGGAAAACAAGCATCAGAAGAGGCTTTTACAAACGGTCCAACAATACAAAAACCCGTACTCAGCAGACCTGGTGCAAACAATTTATGACATGAAATAGCGGATTTTGTAACATTTCTAAATAGTTCACATATTGTAGTTTATTCAAGTTATTAAAAATAAGCAGATTATGTATGAGTATATGATATCGAGGTTTGTCATAACAACCTAGAATATTTTAGGATGAATTGCTTTAATGAATGAATAATTGAATACCTCGTCAAAAATAGGTCTGCAAAATAAGAAATGTGTGTGATCGGTTTTTAGGTATAGATACCTGTTGATATTATAAAGAGAATGTTGCCAACGTATGCACAAGAGTGTATTGAACATAGAGTTGCAAAAATTGTTCATTTCACCTGCCTTCAGAGTAAAATATTAAACCTACGCATTCTACGTTTTTGCGTCTATATAATATTTGTCCGCGTTCTCTGACGAAAATATATAACTGAGTTTCCAACGACAGATTTGGATCATTTCGTGGCTTTCGATTGATATTTACGTAGACCTTTGCTGCAAAATATTTTCATCATAAAACATTTATGATCAACTCATTTCAATATTTAGTTGCCGGTTCGTGAGTCTTTAATGTCTTGAGACATGTTTTTGGTCATATTTAGGACATCCAGATTTATTCCAGAGCGGAGAAAGCTATGGAGTAGTTTATTAATCATATTTTCACTTGTGCTAAATTTTTCAGTCACGAGTTAATCTCGTTTGTGAGAAGACAGTTTAGTTCAGCCATATTTAGATACACTGTATCATATAATGTTGCTGCGCCAACTGCAGGCTTTCATCACTCTTGTATAAGTGTAAAAGAACAAAAACTGTAAGTACCATGCGCTTGTAGTAAAAACAAGCCTAAACGGAATCATACAATGAGTTAGATACTCTTTGTATTTATATAACATCGTGTAAAATAGGCACATTCTCATTGCAGATCTCCCTCAAGATGATTTGAGATAGCACCTGATCAACATTTCTCCGAATATTAAAAAACACTCATCCATTCCATTAAAAAGCACCATGGACTAGCCTACTTGCTTGATTTAATTATTTTCTTTGTAACTTCATTGCATTGCCAGGGTCGGTGGTAATGTAAGGTTGCAACGGTGCAAAAAAAGTATGAGAACCACTGGTTTATAGATAATTTACCATACGATTTATTTGCATTAGTAATTCTGACCGAAATGGAACGAAGGTTGCAATTGGTTTAACACATCAAATCCAATTCACATAATTTTCTTTATCATCTTCTTCAACACTTCTTGGTCAGGTAAGTTTCCTCTGTAAAATAAGTTTATTTTTATTCTACTCACCCACTCATGAAAATACATTTATTGAATGCGAATAAAGAACAGTTGTCCAACATTGCCGCTTACTATCTTAGTGGAAATGAACTAAACTTAATTTCAACAATTATTTATTTTGGCATAATTACGACTATTCATCGACTAGTTAATAGGTAAGAGTTTCTGATTCTACTGCTCAAAGACATACATCTGTTTAACAAAAAAATAAACATTGAAATTATGCAAACTTACTTGATATATATATCAGCTATTTTACTCTGTTCGTGAAATATGCCTAATATTGACTGGAATCTTGGGCGATAAATGCAATCGTTGGCTGCATATCCGAATATTAATTATTGGCACTATACTCGCCGATACGGTTTGCCCACGAATATTGCACTTGGGATATATACGGGTTACAAAAGCACTATTGAACACAAATGAAAACTTGCTTTGCTTAGTGTCCACTGTCCAGTGATACTTGGCTTACTAATATAAGTTTGTACTGATGACAAAAGTAGCAGTGAAACTAAACTTGTACGTTAGATCTATTCGAAAGATTTACTTATTTGGAAAACTTATGGTGTATAAAATATAAACTTTATTGTAATCAGAATATTATTAAACTACATCTTTAGTTTAGATAGAAAAAATGGCGCCGCCTCAATTTTATGTTACTGAATATTAGCATTGTCGGACCGGTTTTCAGCGAACCGGTTACATTAGATAAAATGTATACTCGGAACGGACTCTTTTTAAATATTGATTGCTTAATTGTGCGGTATATAAAAATCCTTTATTGACTAACGTAAACGCCAGTAAAAAAAACAATAATATATATAGAAGAAAAATATAGAAGTTTTCCATTACATCTTTAAAATCGAAAGCCAAATCGACCAAGATCTTTTTGAACTGAAAGCCAAACATAACTTTCCCGTCTTAGAAATGCATGCAAACTTACTTCTTTCTGATCATCTGTTACTAACTATGAATTGATCCAGATACCTCAAATCTGCTGGGTTCCTGCATTGACCCATTTCTTAACTTTCACAAAGCGATGATTTACAGGCTAATATAGTGTTCAGAATCAGTGATCCAATATAAACTCGATTTTAATTGTTATTTTCTTGCTGTTTGACATTTTGAGCCCACCCGCACAACCAACAAACCGATGTTCCTCTTTTACTCATTATTCTATTTAATACATATATATATATTATATTGAACAAAAATATGAAATTTATTAATACTGAAAATGCAAAATGATGAGTTGATGAAATTATATATATCAAATCTTGTTCTCAAAATTGTTGCTGCTGGAAGGGTTGAAGTCACTGAATGATCTAAAGCAAAATGAGGTGAAAGTTTGTAGAAAAATATGATATGAATGCAATCTTATCTCACAAGTCAATGCTTGCCATCCTACCATAGCACAACGTGTAAGATCTAAAATTTAGAAAATGTTATTTCGCTCAATAAAGTAAAACAAAGTACCCACTCATGACTTCGTAGAATCATCATCGTCAGTTTCAAAATCATCCTATGTAAATTGAGAACGCAATAAATTAATAATATTAGGCCATTATTGAGATGGAGCTGTAACAATGTTTGCTTGTTTGTTTTTCATGTTTTGTATTTTCAAAATTTTAATTTAATGACTTTTTTAATTTTAATTTTTGGCAATTTTTATTTTGACTTACACCGCTGATACATTCAGATTGTACTCCTTTACAAAATAACAGAGTCATTTTTCTCATTAATCTTAATCTCACTATACTTGACTGTAAGTCAAAATGTTATCAACAAATACCTACTTCGTATAAAGCTTCGTAGTCTTTGTCATTCATTTTCTGACCTTTCCCGGACTGAAAATATTGAAATCAGGTTTAACGTTATGTAGAATCGACAATAAACTTTGCGTCAAATAGCTTGGCACAAAGATACAACAATCAGGAAATAGCCTAAATATTGAAATACTCACAGATGATTTGCGTGAATCGTCATCGTCACTTTCAAAGTCATCCTGTAAAGAAAACCAATTAATATTTTGTGTTTCATTTTAACTCTTTTAAAGCTCCAAGCCCTGCCCATTTTACGGGTATTTTCAAACTTATTTTTTTATGTCAACCATTAAGCCCTAAAGCTTTACTCATGGCTTTTTAAAAGCGTCTGCTAGAGTTCTATTCAGCAATATATCTTTAAAACACACTCATCGAAAAAAATTTTTGCAAAAAAATTTCAAAAATTTCTAAAAAAAAAATTGGACTTTGAGATATTCTGTGTACAGTTAATAATTAATTCCTAATTAATTAATTTTTTCCTCAACGTTTTCGTCAAGTTTTTCCTAACATAACAATACCAAAACGACTATTATAGCATAAATGGTTATTACTCTGAAATTCACTATTGTATTTACAGTATTGTCGAGTTCAAGGTCAAATTACCTATATTGATGACGTCACAGCTCTTATTATTACTGCACAGACCACCCCCAATGCAAAAAAATTAAATTTTTTCGACGGAAATGCGCGTAGAACGGCGTAAACAATCCCATACGCGCATTTACGCGTTAAAATTACCATTAATTTTACGTTTTTTTTTTACATACAAAAAATCTCCATACCTCTGCCAACTATGGAGCAGTCGAAATCATATTTATCAAAACAACACAGCGCCAGGGATGGTCAGGGATAGTTAGTATGACTGAAAATACATGCTAAAACAATAACGAGAATATCGGTTGGAAACCGACGACTTATCGATCGATAGTTAGGGGATCCCCCAAAACAGAAACTGCAGTTTCGATTCATCCGCTCTTGTAACTTGCGCACTGCGCATCGCACACACACACTCGGCGGGTTTCAAAATTCTCTCGCTTTACAAAAATCTAGATCACTATATCAATAATTGATTGATAACTCGCTAATTATACGACATAATTCGCCCAAAATCAATAGGTTTCTGGTCCGAGATAAGATGAATGCACATGCAAAATCTGGAGCAGATTCAATCTCGCTTTCGTGAGATATCGCGGTCATCTAACAGACACACAGACAGACAGACATACATACAGACATACATACAGACAAATACCTATCAATATACTTACCGATCTTAAGATCGATAAGTAATAAGTGGTTATAAAGGAGTATTTCCTGTCTGAGCTGAGTCGACATTTTCAGACGTCTGACAGGTGATTTTGAAATCCAGGCTATTTATACGATTCGCACTTTGCGTCACGGCTGGAAGGTTTTATCGCTTCTCTCATATCAGGGCATTACGTCGATAAACAGCTAAGAGCGATATTGACCCTATAAGTACCGAAATTTAAAAACTATAGTAAAGTAAACCCATATGGGCGTTCCGGCTGTAGACTAAAATTTTGTTATAGGGCAACCTGTACGGCAGCTTATTCGAATATTTGTATGTTGCTTACAATCTGCAATGTGGATCGAAGTCGAATAATCTACTTCGATATGAAGCATAACATGAATAGAAAATGATTACTCAAATCTTGTAGTAACACGAAACAAATAGAAATATGACAACTTTATATTATGCTCCAGCTTTACTGAGGGTAAATGAAATAATGCTGGGTATTGAACACTCTTATTATGTAAATGAATTGAAACAAGTTGATTATATTTACTGACGAAAATTTTTCCTCTATCGATGACGAAAAACTTAACGAATCATTTATTTTCAATACGAGATGAAACATCCTCCTTCGTGATTTTACAAATTACATAGTATTGCAACATATTTCGAATTCAATATCCGACGGAGTGTTTGTACTCTCACTTAATCAAACTCTTAACAATGTTGATGTTAAGAATCGCTGCCTAAAGCAGTTACCTCATAATATGCTTCGTCGTATTTGTCGTCTATTTCCTGATCTTTTTTGATCTAAAAATTTTATTAAAAAATGTTTATGTCACGTAAATCTAGCTTCTTATCCTCGCGCAATCATCTAAAATAATTTAAATTTGATTAACATATATACCTCCTCCTTGTCCTGTTTCAATTCATATATTTTCTCCACTTCTTTTATTCCATTGTCAGATTCCTTAAAAATTCAGCCGAGAAATATAAGTCTGGCAAAATATAGCTAAAACACAATAGGCAAAAAAGACATTGGATACTTTGGTTTACTAATAATCAGGCGATTCTCGCGAATATGTGGCTTCGGCCACAATAATCATTATTTGGCAGAAGATTTGCTGCGTTTAAAATATTCAATACTTTACCTCTGATTTTGAAGAATCTTGTCGAGGTATGTCGTGGACTGGCCTCCGTTTATCTTTTTCAGAGACATTTTTCTTAATTACAAAACACGCTTATATGAACGAATACTTTTCCTTCAAGTTTAATAATTGTGACTAGGAGGTATTCGATAAAATATCTAAACACAAAAATTGACCGGCTCATCAACTACTGAGTTCATAAACAACAATCTACGTATGTTGAAAAAATTCATACTTGCTCCAATTTTGCACATAGAATTTTAATTCGAATCTTCTTATTCAGTGCACGCCGAATAAAATAAATACTTACCAACGATTTTATTAAACCTTCATCGTGACTCTCATCCTGAAAAATAAAATAAATCGATAAGTAATAACTGATAGGTGATGATTTTACAGTAAACAACCCTTATGCTTGCTACGAGTTTTTGAATGTTGCGTTCATATTATACAAGTATTTAACACTCATAAAAAAAATCAATTATAATGTTACTTCGTAGTCAGCTTCGTAATTGTGGACGTCCAGTTTTGGAGCCCCGTCGGCCTGAAAATAAAGAAATAGTAAATATATAGATTTTATAGAAAAATGATTTAATGTAAATAATAGATATTTCTATCAAACGATAATAGAAGTCGACATTATTAGCAGAAATTAAAAGTTACTTATGTTCTAGATATATTTTCTCATTGTCTTTGTACCTCCGACCCACGTACACACTAAAAATAATTATTATACCTTGGGTTTTTCATTTGGAGATACGCAAGTTTGTGTTGATTTGTTGTGAAATTTCTGAAAAAAACAACATAAAATTAAACTGTTACAATAAAAACAAAGTAATACTTTGAGTAATCCATATATTTCCAAGAATCCTGAAAACAGAATTCTTATGTAAAATTTACCTTGTTTTTGTGTTGATCTGTCCTGTCAGTAACCTGTAAAAAGGATTGATATGAGCAAGTGAACATGTACCCACATTATGATCGCTTACTCTATAGCAGCGTTTCCCAACCTTTTTTGGTTGCGGACTAAATTCTCACCAGCGAAAACCTTTGCGGACTCAAGGTGCGTTTACTACAACCGTACTCTGTGTGAAGAAGCAATAAAACCAAACACAACGGAATTTGAACGAATTTCGAAATTGGAAATTTGCCGCAATTATGCGTCCGTTAAATGGGACGACTTTTTTAGTGTATAATGGCTCTTTCTGTCGCACTATATTCCATCTATGACAACGACGAAAATTTAAAATGTCTTTCTATTTTAATTGTGTTCATGGTAACTCGCCGTTGCGTCGACTTACGACAAGATGATAGCATTACTTCTTTAAAATGCCACAGCAATCTGCTAAAATATTGCCCGATTATATTAAGTTTTGATACATATTTTTAGAAATTTTGCAAATTTGTTATCGTGGTTAGAAAAACCCTAGTATCTGCTATAAATTTCCAGAAAGTACAACTTGATTTAGTACTTATCAAAAATATATTTAAAGTATATTAGTAAATCAAAAATACATATTCACGGCCTTGCTTTATTAATGGTGATCATTTTAATCTGCGGTTGTGTTGACGAAATAAAAGCAATACTAATCAGAAAATATCATGACTATCCGTCGACACAAAAATGCATGGTAAAGTGCCCGATTATATTTTGTTTTGATTCGTATTTTTGTGAATTCGACAAATCTGAGCTGTTCGTACAACACTTACGGCGCTCCATTACTACTGTACGTACCAATGTGGAGGCAGTAAAACAAAGAATTCAGAAGGAAAATGCCCTGGTACGCAGTGGCGGCGCGTGGTCATTTTGACAACCGGGGCAAGCTACTGCGGGACCAAGTCACCCCCATCTACGGGGACAGGATGAGCGCTGTAAGTTCTCCCATCATTTTATGAGTATAAAAACCATTCCATCGGTAACAACCAATCGGCAAAAGCGACAATTTTTAACGATAAGAAAGTGTCTTTAAAACCGGTCCAAGTCAAGGGATTAATAAATATAGACATACTTTATTTGAAACCTCTTTCAAAAGGAAAGGCAATATTTACCCAGATAAATACAATAACATATTAACAGAAACTTCAGGAAAGCAGACAAAACCTAAAATAAGGTTTAAAACGTTACTATGGAGAAAGGCAAGCTAATGCAAAGATAAGGACATGCGTCGCTCACTCATAGATATATATGCTGCTAGACTTCTACTGCTTGAACATATATGCAACACGCCGCGGTTTCTTGGAAGCAAAATGCTCAATAACGCGCTGATTAAAGTCATGCATCCCAGAAATAACGTCTCTGTGAATGGATAAAACAGCCAAGGAATTTAATCTATCTTGCTTCATTGTGTTTCTGAGATACGTTTTAATACGCTTCAGCGTGCTGAATGTTCGCTCTGCGTCGGCGGAAGAAATAGGCGTCGTCAAAATGATGTCCAGAAATTTTGCAGACGCCGCAAAGGTAGTTACTAGAGTGTTATCTATGAGGAACCCATAGAGCGCGCAAGTTGATGTGATGTTCAAAAAAGTTTGATTGGTGTATATACATCGCAATTCATTTTCCAATTTACCCACGTTTATCATGGGGTAAAATTTGGAGACAGTAGCCAACAAATGGATGGGAAATTGACGTGCAAATTTTGAAAATTTTTTGGGGTTCATCAAAGAGAACGCGGCAAGGTGTTCAGTGCGCAGACGATCGCCTATTTGATTCACCAGAATGTCACAGCATTCCTTTGTAGACAAAATCAAACGCTGCGTTGTTTGCCCGCGGCGTAAAGAAGCACTCCATGTGTCGTCGTATTCTATTGTTTCCCGGATACGAGATACAGCATCGCAGAAGTCTGAAATACACGACTGCACAGACGCTCCATCCATTAGCCTTGACTGCAATGCGCCGTATAATACATCCACGTGATAGAATATTGTGGAGAAAAAAGCGAGAAAAAATGAAAACTCACCATCTTCTAGCAGACGCTTTAGACCTGCCGCCTCCCACACAGAACGTTCGTCCCAAACCGGAGAGCTCTGAATGCCATTGAAACACTCAATGAGCTCAGACCTAATTTCGGACACGCCCTGCACCACGCGTGATTGGAAGTTCCAACGTGTTGGTGCACAAGCTGGGAGACGGCGGCTACATATCTGGCGAAGGAGGTCAGAGCGCTTCGGCGAAACGGAAAAAAATGAAGAAAACCCCGAAACATTTGCAAAAAATATACGGACGAGAGGGGTATCAAGACACATATTTTTAATAACAAGGTTAAATTGGTGTGCATAACAATGTAAAAAATGCGCATGAGAAAAATCTTCTTTTATATAAACTTGAACACCATGTTTCGACCCACTCATGACTGCCGCGCCGTCATAAGTTTGAGCTATCAATTTTGACTTCGCGTTGTAAGGCTGTAACACTTCTTTCAGTACAGCCGATATCCCGCAAGCCGTGCGATCAACGATTGGTACAAAGCTGTGAAATCTCTCGGTAGGTTTACCATCTTTCACAAACCGAAAAATCACAGCCAGTTGGGAAACGCACGTGATGTCAGTTGTCTCGTCAGACTGAATCGAAAGGAACTGGCAATTCTCAATTTCCAGAGCCAAATGTTGTAAATAAATTTTATACATTGAGTCGAGCAAATCATTTTGGATATCCTTAGATGTCCCTTTCGAAACAGTTGCGGCATCAAGATGATCTCTCAATACTGTATCTAGGGATGCGGTGTATTCCACCATATCCAAAAATACCCCTCTATTAGAAGAGCCAGCCAGTTCATCGTGCCCACGGCGGGACAGCTCGTGACAACCAATGAACTTCAAAACATCTATCAATCGACCGAGAACATGGCGGTTTTTCTCGACGATTTGGTTGTGCCGACGAATAGAAACCGCGCGTCCTTCATCCAACTGTGCTGCAATATTAACATTTCCGAATGTTCGGTATTTTACTACATTGTCCAGATGCTCCATAGAAGATTGATGATCCCTGGCACGCTCGGAAAGATGTTTAAGATCTCTAAAACCAAATTTACACCAACGTGAGTCACGGGCGGTAGCAAAAAGTAGGCAATAAAAGTGCATTTTTGTCCTCGCTGTAACACAACCATTCGTGTTTTTTATACCAAGTTTCTGCGCAGAATGTACGCCGACGCTTTCCTCCGTCATGGGATTGTTCCAGTGAACAATTTTTTGGTCGATAAGGCTCAAGACGTTGTACCTCTAATTTTTGTTCCAGCGGCAGCTGCGAAAACGGAGTGCGAGATAGTGCATCAACCTTATTCATTATGAGGTCTAAGGCTAAGAAATGCGAAGCCGGATGGACTAAAGGTCTCTAACTGATTCAAATAGCGAAACAAGCGACAAAAACGAAGGCGAGGAAACTATCAACTCTTCAAGCAACCAACGAACGAGAAGGAATGCGTGAATATGTCAACACGTTGTTGTAAGAAACGTCGGCATTGTGTCGTCATAATTTCGGGGCTAGCCCCGATCGGCCCCGATGATTTAGTAAAAGAAACAGAAAACAAACGAGACAAACGCGGCGAGTGGAAGATAAAAGAGATAATACGATATACAATGAGCAACCGGGGCAAAATCGGCGTCGCCCCGTCGACGTTCGGCGAAGGCTTTGCGAGCGAAAAATGAACCATGTCGGGAGAATATGGCTAGTGTAGACAGTCTGTGCAACCGATATTGAGGTATTTTTCGAATATTTTTTATTATACCGAAAAAACAACCGGAGCATTACCCCGGTTGGCCCTATTGACGCGCCGCCAGTGTGGTACGTATACTACGGTAGCAGCCGAAATTTTGAGATTCGCTGTGTCTAAGAAAGCGTATTTAATAGGTCGCGGAAAAATTTCTGGTTGTTCGAACTCGCGAGAAACACCTATTACGTATCTATCGAAGCGTGTACAGACTCTTGTTATCGTCGGAAATCCGCAAGTGAGTTGTGAAATCCAATCGTTTGTTTAAGCGACTCGCGAGTGACTTGTCGCGTCACGTGTTACCAAATTTTCGAATAGTAAATTGCTATTCTAATAGTTATATATATAGAATATTCGAATATATGCCCAGCCTACTCAGTAACCAGTAATTATTGACTCGATTAATGTTATGTGAATAAACTGGCTTTTTATGTTTTATGAAAATTCTAACGTAAATCGCAACTTGGCTGGGAGTTAATTAAATTTCACAAAAACGTTTACGGTCCGCAGTGAATTTATGGCTTGTTGTGGACTCATTCAAACACTGTGCGGACTCATTTGAGACCGCGGACTCGGGTTGGGAAACACTGCTCTATAGCGATGCTTAGGCACGATAGTTGGCAGTTTGGTAGTGTTTCATGTCGCATTGAAAGTTACAAAATCATTTTAATTATTTTGCACATTATCTTCATAGTTAAATGTTATGATCTGTGTGACAATCATTCAAGTTTGAAATGAAATAAAATGTTATAACAGGAGCTCAACAAATATTCGAAACGTAATGCAATCTGGCGAGAATTCGTGATGGAGTATGCCTGCTGACTGAGAAATAGCGAGATGCAAATGAATGACAATGTTTATCTCTGATTAAATAAATCGAGGAAGTTAGTGATAATATTGTTATCATATAGGTTAAACGATGTTGGGAGATTGAATTAAATTTTACTTGTTTCTTCGAAGTTTTGAGAAATTTATCCAGTCTTCTCGTAGTATTAACGAGTGATTTTATCTGATTCTCTGTCTCAGCTATGTCATCAAATTTAAAGTTGCCGAACGCGTCTCCGATAGAAAAATCTAAAGAATTATTTTTCAATAAAAAAAACGACTAATAATATTATGATATAAATTTTCAATTCTGTGAATTTATTTATATTGATTAGATTAAATTTATTAACGAATAATCCGGGAAAATTTATTTACAGGTTGTTATTTATTAATATCTGCAGTATTATCTACTTCAAGTCGGGACTGCTACTGAAAAAAGTAAATTTGTCGGTCACTCCATGGGACATACGTCCACTCGAAATAGAACTAAAACAGTGAGTGAAACAAAACTTTCTCCATATACCTTTGTTGCATATATTTTCCGCTGGCTCCACTGTTTTTACTGGTTCAGAACTGTCATTTCTTTTCATCTTTAGTTGGCTCTGTTTCTCGTTGACATACTCCAAGCTTTTTTCAAACCATAATTTTGCCGAAACAATCGATTCCAAACCCCGCATTAATAATTTTTTCTGGTCTTCTAATTGTTTTATGAATTTCAGCTGCAAAAGTGTAAATGATTAAGGTTCTTACTTCACTTTGACTTCAGAAACATTATCAGAACATAGGAAAGTGAAAAACGATCATTTGCAACTAGGATAGATATGTGACAGCAATCTATTTCTGTAGAAAATTAGATGATTGTTGGAGAATAACTGTGTGAAATAACAACAAAAAAAAATGATATTTTGTCTCTCCGCTGCAAGATTTTATCTTGATTTTAATTGAAAATTTCGACAGATTCCAACTTAACAACGTTGGCGTTGGATACGCACCATATCATTGTCTATTCCCGGTATAACTGCGTTGCTATGAACCTTTGCATCCAGTTCAAGTGGGAGGCAAGGAGGCGGTAGTATTCCAGTAGTCAAAGACGGAACAGAGTTTGGTGGCGGCGTGGCTTGCTGCGCTGATATAGTCTCAGCATCTAAGATAATTTAAAACATATACACATATAAATATAAACATATATTAGGTCTATAATTAGTAGGTAGATATAAATCAGTGAAGTCTGATGGAATTATAATATTTAAAAACTGCCCAGTGTCAGACTGCTGACACATGATAGGAAGTATTCGAAAAAATAAATCACTGGTGATTATAGTCATTTCACGCAACCGATAATTAGGCGGAGAGTTCGAAAATGCAGTGGAATGTCGGCACAACAAAAATAACAAAGAACACATGGCAGCTGATAATACGGTTTTGGGCCCCAAAACGAACAAAACAGAAAAGAGGTTGAACGCATGCTCTCATGTGCGCAATTATAGTCGACAAATAATTAAAATTAATTTTCACGGATCAAATTATATTACCAAACAAAAAATGTAGAACGTTTGGAGTACCTTGGGGAGCAACAAATGAATTCTCATTGACGTAGTCAGTCTCATTTTTTATATTTCCTGTTTTTGAATTACCACTAGAAACCGATAATGCTGACTCCAATTCTCGAAGATTCATTGACGAGAGTTTTCCGATGTCAGCACTACTGGAATTTCTGAAATAATATCAATAGCATGATAGTTTATATAAGGATCGTCTATTCTTATTGAGTTTAGTGCACAATACGTTATTGTAATTAATAAACATAAAATTTACATTTGAACTTAATAACTTTTTCTCGTGTATCATGGGCGTTCTGGCTAAATACCACAATACTCTAACCTTGAGGTTGGCAATGTAACATCACGTATTTCAAGTGGAGTCAAAAGAGTATTGTTGTTTTCTGAAGACTCATTCCGAACCTGGTCACTGGACGTAGAAGTTCTGCACAAAAATTATTCATATGAACGGCAAATTATTTGATTTCTAGAATGATACATTCAATCTATACATTTGAAAAAAAAACAGATTACTTTACAATATGACCAGTAATCATTATTGCCAATTGTTTACCCGATTCCAGTATGCTTCTTTACATTACATTACATTCAATTCTGGTATTGTTCTGAGTCTTCTTAGTATTTGAAATCTGCGAACAATAATATAATTGATAAAAAGATTCGTTTGTGAATTCAATCATATAGAATCTATGAATGACAACATAACCACGATAGCATCGAACATTAAATATTTCAGGTGTAAACTAAACAAGAACATACCTAGCGTTTCACTAGCGGTATAACAAATAGTTGTTGAATAAACCCAAACAATTCCAGACTATGAAAACTTAGCGCCGTATATAGTTTTCTATCCCACTCCAACGCTAAAACTGGGATGCCATATAAGACACACCATAAAATATGCAAAAAGGTAAAATTGTAATTCCATTCATGTTATGAGCTGGAGATTTCATATCCAGCTCATAATTACTCTCATATTGATTCATCATGACACTATCTCTAGAAGAGTCGATGATGATTTTCAAAATGCATATCGATGTAATAAAGTAGAAAATATGAATGCTTGTTTTGAAGACACCACGTATCGTAAAGTCTTGTTGAAACTAATAAAAGTTGGTATCATAATACCGTGTCAGTCCTGTGAGCATCTTCGTCCACGATTGGTGATTTACGGCATTGAGTGAATGTCTGATAAAAAAAAACATGAATTTTTTTAACTAAAACTACTTTGAGATATGTATTATAATACGAAATCAAAACATCAGTCACGAGTGGTTATACATGAATCCATCACAAAAAATAAGATATGAAATATAATAAATCGGGAATAGTATTTGGTTGTGATCTCAGCCTATCGTCGATGTACCACTGCTCGGGTATTGGTCATACTGTAGTGTACTGTGGACTAATATTGATCAGACGCATTTTTATACATCCAGTATATATATATATATATATATATATATGTATATTCTTACCTTCGAATTCGCAATGGCCATGGCGTTTGGTTATGAAAAGTAGCAAATATACAGTATACCAAAATATTCTGATTCTATTCATATTCTGATTATACAAACATTTTTATATATTTTTTCTTTGAATACATAACTTTTCGACTCACCAAGACTTTGTTAGCCTTCACCATTCCTCTGCCGAACCATGAAGCAAATGCATATATACAATGCACTGCTGTCAAATAAGATGAAGCTTCATCTTCTTCCTGGGATATAAATTTAACCAGATTAAGTTATGTGTTGCAATGACATTAAGAACGTTAATATTCAGTAATGCTTTCGTGAAATCATTGGATGTGTAAATCAAGCTCTAAAACCTAGATTCTAAAGGTTAGGTTTTAAACATCGTGGAGCAGGAAAGATCCCAGTCAATACCGAAGTCGGGAGTCGCAATTTTCCACTGACACAGTAAAGTGCACCATTTATACACAGTAAAGTTTCAACCATTCGGAGTTGCAGTCGGGATGCGATTTTCAAGACGACCTGAATAGGAGACGTGCCATTGTCCAAACCTAAGTACACGCCCAAATCTACGTACACAAACTGCTCGATGGCATGCAAAATAGCACATGAAAGGAACAAAGATGTGATTCGAATGAACGACATCTATTGAATAACTACTACAAAACTTCCGTCAATCAATCGTGTTTTAGAGTTGAATGCGTACGAAACACCAAAGAAAATACCTTCATGACTTCCGAAAAAATTCACGCTTCAACCTTGCCCAGTTAAGCAAAAATAATCAGAAGCCCGAATATATATTATATATTACAAGTCCAAAAGTCTGAGAATATTGCGTCACCGAATATTGCTAGCATAAATTGCAAAATATAACGTTATGACAACAAATATCTTTCACACTCGTTATCGAATTCAGACGAAAGAAGTCTCTTTTATACTTGCAACCTTTACACCGATTTGTTGCAAAATCCGCAGTTAAATTGATCAATAGGCCTACTTCCTAATGCTTAAATTCCCATATTTATACTCAAAAACTCACTAAATCGGAAGAATTCTTCCTAAATCTTCGCCCTCGTCTCTTTCGGCCACATGATACCCGGTGACCTTCATCATACCCTTGAGTTGAATCACCGACTTTATTACGTTTTATAGGCATATTTAATACCCGTGCTGTAAAGCAGTCGAATCTAGCTCGAATAATCACCGTTTTAGGGAAATATTTTGGATTTTTTTGTTTTTGTTACGTCATAATCATAACACACATGTGATATCAGTAGCCAATTAGAAGTGGCGAATCGGGAAAATCTTTCTCACAGTTTTCAAGAGGCGTATTTTCAATGGCAAAAGTTTTTCAAAAAGCCAAGTGCAACGATATGATAATTCTTTATAATACACATTTACAAGGGGGAATAGATAAAAAAAAAAGTAGTAAAATCTCATCTACTTAAAATCCCATACAGTCAGAATGACTGATGATATCAAAACATGCATCTTAAAATCATAGGCGTAGCCATTATAAGGCAGTATGGGGACATGCCCTCCTTTTTTATTTATTTTTGAAAAGCGACTTAGCGGCATTTGCAGTGAGACTCATTTACACGCCGCTGTGTAAAAATGACGTTCATGAATCACTTGATGAATAATTTAAAATCACCCAACCTCGTGCAGGAGACAAACAAATTAGACTGGTAACGAAGCGATTGGTTGCGACTCGCTAAATGATCAAATCGTCTTATCGGATTCCTCTGAAGTTTCGATTTTCTTCTGAAATATCTTATCTATTAATTAAAGTTTACTTCATTTCGTTGGTCGTCATTGGTGCATCGCATAAAGAATTAAAAATTAAAGTTTCCAGCAAGCAAGCGCTTTTCCGTAATTGGTGAAAGAAGGGCTGATGCACAAACTTGTATTGCACAATCGCTTTGAATGGCGCCTCCACATAGAAGACTGCTGAATTCCATATAATCTAAGATTGCTACACTAAACGTGTACTGCCTACCCTACAAATGCAGAGGCATGTTTAAAATATCCATGAAATGACATCGATATTTGGCCAGTTGTAATTCTATCTACCATTACATCTTATTGCCAGTAAAGGCCTCGTGCAGCTTACATAAAAAATTAAACATATATATATATATAGATCTGTCTAAAAGACAACGCGAAGACAAATGCTATACATGAAACCGCTTATTCGGAGCTCTGAATTATGAACATGGGCCTCAGCACAATGAATAAATCTGTACCAGTGTAAACAACTACTGGGATCCTGCATGAACGAAATTATAACAGTTGCTTGAAAAAATTTCAAAATAACTGACAAAAAATGTAGTTCTCACCGGGGCAAATACAATGCGGTAACGAAAAAGTATGGTTGTGTGTGTCTCCCTCTTGTTGCATGCTATGCATTATGGACGTGGTTTTCACACAGGCAAGGTAAATTTTATTGAAGTTGTATAAACTCTAGCTTTTCACACCGATTTCCACGTTTGCGTTCGGCTCGCATACAACCGGTTTGTCAGTAGTTCTTAAGTTTGACGCGATTCTGACGTTCAAAGCTCTTGCATAAAATGATGAAATTTTCATGCTAATTTTGGTGCAAATCCTTAGTTTTCGTTACATAAAATTCTTAGGGAACCGCCATTGCTGTAGAACAAGCCTAAGTAAAAAGTAGGTTTCGTCCCCACGGGAAGAGCTAAAGTCAATAGGCAGGCTTGCAAAAGGCAATAGGCTTTCAATCGGTTGCCGCGAAAGATCCTCAATAAACCATGTGTAGCCCCACCTAGGTTCGGATCGTGTCGGTCGTTGATTGGTCGCGCGACGTGTTGGGCACGTTTTTGAGTTGGGGGTTTTGACTTTTGAGGGACACTTGATTGGGGAATCTCGTGCTACACACCTCTCAACCGGCTGTCTCAATCACCTCAAGTTACGTTGTTTTACTGTTTTTTTTTTTATCGATCATTACATCCAGTTTACCGTTGTTGTAATTGAAGAATATACTACACAACCAAATATTAACTCGTTTTTAATTCGAGAATATAAAGCGAACCGTCAAAGGAGCTTAGTCTCGGCACGCAAGGAGACACTGGGAAATACCTACGTACTCTACACATGAAAGGCTAAGGTTGTAAGAATTGGTAGTGAAGTTTTTTATTATATGAAAAAGGCAAACCGCCAAATTAGAATTCTTTTACATTTTAGGTAGTCAACTGCGACATGACCTACATTTCACTCTATTATCGTCGTTGTCCGCCTGATTCTGTTCATATATTTTTTCCTTTCAAGTTAAAAGTGCTTGCTAAATTCGTCCTAACACATGATATTGTAAGATCGGGAGTTTAAATCAGTAAGGCCGGTATATATATATTTACTACATCCGTTTTCGATCTTATGTGGCTCATGATAACCTTACCGCATTGATCACCCAACGTCCTGCGTTACAGTGTTCTCTCACAAATTTGATGGCCTGACTACGACGGCGACACACCCTCTATATTCGTGTTTTGGTGTCACTTTCCAATTCCACTTTACTCCAATGTGGTATGAGTACAGGTGACGTTGCTTTGAGTATATTTTAGGTTTCGTCACTCCTTTCTAACTTTGTTTCTCTGCATTTATTTAGATTGAAATATAAGTGAACTCACTTCAACTTGGCGAGAAGATTTTCTAAATCTTCGCCCTCGCTTCTTCCTCCCACATGACACCCTGTGTCCTTCGCCATAGTCCAGGCTAACGATATCCACTTTGTGTCGTTTTATTGGCATATTAGGCAAGCGCGTTGCTAAACACAAACCGAACAAGATGCCGACTAATGCGAAAAGGCATATTTGACTGGAATGATTTACTTGTTACGTCACAATAGACTATGTGTTGTTAATGTCAATCAGCAATGACATATCTCTAAATTGTGAAGCAAGACTTTTCAAACACTTCGTAACTTCATACAAACACGGAGAAACACTTTTATAAGATTTGCGACAATCTATAGGTTTCTCACACCTCTATTGTATCTGATAATCATAATCATCTAAATATGAGCAAGGCGCTTACGCTGACAGAACAATAGCAAAACAAATTTTAACTATCTTCAGGGACCGGCGGTTGAGAACCAAGATATAAATAATAATAATGCTAATCTCCTTGACCTGGTTGACAAATTAACAATCTTTATTAATTTTCCCCGTGAATATTTAATACTGGGGTTAATACAGTTCAAGATACTGCTGTGATCAAATACGGCAATAAAAAAACTTTAGGACACCGGACGAGCATGGTGAGCAGCCGACAACGACAATCATATTAAACAGTATTGAAGTGCGAACAACCAATTGACGGCAAGGTTCTTCGCTTTTCATGTGCCTAGTTGCTTACTTTGGTTCTATTATACATTCCCTATTATATTATCTTCATACAGCTCTGCGTCTCTGGGGAGGCGCGCAACTAGGTTAGGAACTGCTCTATAAGGTTCCATTACATTTGACCCACGTACATTTGAACCCTCGACAATTGCACCTGCATAATATTGCACCTATAGAAATTTTTACCCATGGATATTTGAACCCATACTAACCCTAACTCAAAGATTTTAGCGCCCTCATGTAGATTGAACCCGCGGATATACGGGTGCAAATGTATGGGTTCAAATGTACGATCACCGCTCTATAAACTTCACAATGTAAGCCTTAACAAGACAGATCGTTTTTCAAGACATGGTATTCAAACAAACAACGTCACGAGGTAGCAGAATATATTAACATATGATGATATTTTCATATTATTATGATTTGGGTAGGGTTTTGTTTTTTATCAATTCTAAAAAAAACATCGTGTTTTAAAACAAGAGCTTGTTTTAAATCAAATTTTTTCTGTATTTTTTTGGGATTACCCCTTGCATCGCCGCGAAACTACGCCAAAACGTTGCATTCTGGCAGCTGCATCCGCAGCCGGAATTATAATTTCAAAAATGTAAGTAAAATTTCTTAATTTGACTTTTACTTCTATTGCGTACATTTATCGCCACGTTTGTATCTCCACCAAAGTCATAAGAATATACCCGGAATGTTTAGCCGAGATATCAGAGAGACGTTTTGAAGGAAAAAAACAAGAAAATTAGCTCACGAGCCCACTACAAAGGCAATTAGATCAAGTGCAGCCCTTCGGCAAAACGAGTGGGTTGAGATAATGAAGAATGTGCTTATATCGGCGGTAATCTACTGATATAAGCGACGAGACACCCTAGCCTAGCCTATGCTAATTGTAGGAGTCCTCTGATGCAAAGACGCCACAACTAATCTGTCATGACGCCATAATATGGATTTCAAGTTCATGTATTGACATTTTCCTCATAAAATGAAGTCATTATCACGGTTAATACTGTTCGATTAATCTATGCTTAGCATGTTTTGTTTTTAAGGTTGAAGTGATGGAGTTTTTCAAGGGTATACAAACTCATTTATTCGATCGCATTTCAATTTTTGCAAGGTGGTTTCATCGCAGCAGGGCCGTTCACTTAATGGCTCATCGGTTCGGTTTTACTGCGCCAACCACTGAACTACAGCTTGTGAAGATTTATTGCAAATATGAAGCGCTTGACAAGTTTTTACGTCCATTTTTCTTCAACCTATTCAATACAAAAAAATTAAATAGTACAGCCATTTTGAACAAAACAGGCAAAAAAACTTGATTTAAAAAAATTGTTTTAAAACAATTCTCTTTGAACAAACCCCTAGATTTGGGTAAAACTCTCGATATATATAAATAAATGGGTCATTATTTATCTTTCTACGAAAGATATTCAGCATAACATATTTCAAATATGCAATTTAATAAAAAACATATTTTCAATTAGGTGCAGACTGTGTAGATCAGAAACATTCAGCCAACTTTAGACATCTTGCTTGACAGCGCCGCGGGAGAAGCGAGAAGAGATAATGTGACTATTGCTTAGCCTCCCAGTAATGCGAAAAATTTAACGCAGCGACAAGAGCTAAAATCATTCTGTATTTTTACCAAGTGAGTGCCTTTTTAAACGTAAACTGTCGGATTGGAATTTTGTGCTTGATTGGAAAAAATCTTAGTGCTGACAAGTGCCCGAATAAATGAATTGTTGCACACCCCTGATGTAGATGAATCTTCAGCTATATTCCTTTCTACCAAACTGTTAAACCACGCATACGCTTGGAGTGCAAATATAATGTTGTCTTTTGAATAGCGCACCTGGCTCTGTCTTTAATCTATGTTCGTGAAAACTCCTATTGCGAATCAGCTATTTTATGATGTTCATAAAATATTAATATTGACGCGTTAATTGAAATCGAAGACCACATGTACAAGTACAACATCTTCACGCTATACAACACAGTTTACACTTATATCAAAGATCTGTGTCGGCAGAATATCATCGTGAGGTTTAAAAAGAGTAAACAAAGTTGCAATTATTGAAATTTTTCTAATTAACCATTTGGTCAATTGATTACCGTGATTAGGATTGAACGATAAATGATATGTAAATGTATTACAACGTAAGCACCGTTTAAGTCGACAACTCTTCTCATTGAAGAGATGTACATTGTAATGCACATTTAGACAAGAAAGCGGCATAGATCAGATTATGAAGAGATAACCTGTGATGCGCGGTAATCCACAATGCGATTATAACTGGCGGTTTCTCTTATAAATAATAACCAGATTAGTGTCCGCCTAGGAAATGAATGTTTAGTTAGAAGAACACTTGCAAAGCGAATAAATGTTTAAATTGTGATGTTTTCATAAACTCTATAACCAATTCAGATTTACGTCCATGCTAATTAGTTTCATGTCTATCTTATATATAAGCCAAGTTAAAAACGTAACGATAACAGGCGCACCAAATTTAATAATTCCATATATGTGCTTATTGGGGCTTTATCTATGGGCCATTCCTAGCATAAGTTGAATTCCACAATTTTTTTGAAA